AAAAATGAGAAAGCCTAAGCAAGTGATGAAGGTCTGTTTAGGTTTGTTATGATAGATAAAGGATGAGACAAAAGTAATATACACATAATCTTAAAATGTCTATGGTCATAGTTTAGTCAACCGGTTTAAGGGATAAAATAAATACCTAGTCAAAGTTTATCTGAGAATATTTGGTTTTTTACCCAAGCCTCATCTACATAGCACATGATAATTAAAAGTACCAGGCTGGTGGAACTAACCTTATTGGATGTTTAACAGCCATACTTTGAGGCCAATACTAATGTGGTCAGAGGGACTTAAAGGACAGTTTTTGCCCCTTGCCCTCCAAGGTTGACTAAGTTCAAAAGGGACTTGAACCAGTGTCCAGAGATGGACTTGAACCAGTGTCCAGTCTACAAAGAGGAGGGTCAACTCAGAGGAAATATCTCATTCATGCTTCCAAGTGAAGCCAGACATGGTCGAGCAGGACCTTTGACTTATCTTTACATAGATGGAACTGGTAAAAAGAAAGAAGCCAGGAGCTCCTCCCAAGCCCATGTGGCCCCTAAGGAACAGATCCTCAAATGACCTTAAGTGTAAAAAATAAATTGACTTATTTGAGCCAACTGTATGGTCTCAAACACTCAAAAGGAAAGTATAACCAAAGAGTAAAGTCATCAGTATATATCTTTAAGAGTTCAAGGGATTACACTTCACAGACATTAGGCTTAAGTCTATATAAAAAATTATTTAGACAATCATTTCTCATTGATTTTGATCCTAACCAGAAAGTGCTGCTCAGATGTAAGACTTCAAATCTTGGTCTCCAATACTGTAGTGCCCACCTGTAACTAAGGGAGACAACCAGCTCTTGTTCTAAAATGACAGATGAATTTGTTTTCTTCCCACATCTAGAAGCCTTTGAGAGGGAACTGACACTGATTCTAAGCACCCCAACAGCTATCAAAATACCGGAAAGCAAAACTTGAATCCACCACTCTAGAGTGCAGCCTTGGAAGACAGAAGAAAAATGAGGAGGAACCCAATAGAGGGATGCTTTTGGAAGCACTTGTCAAGAAATTCAATGGACTCTCAATATGAACATTTGAAAATTGCCCTGTTCTGACTTTTTTTCTAATTCCCTGTCTAGAACTTGTAATGCTAATTACTCTTGCTTTTACTTCTCCTTCACATCTCCTATTCATGATACAAAGACTTTCTTTTCTTCCTTGAAATAAGTTATGCAATATGGGAGTCATTTAGATAGACCCACTGAAGAGGTACTGCAATTGCCTCACCATGCCTCCCTGTTCAGCATGGAAGAAGCCAGAGCAATCTGCATCCCAATTCCCTATTGGCAATGTGGGTAACCTCTTCAGAGGATGGTGTGATAAGAATAGGAAGTGGAATTGGCTAGGCAGTTACGGTAAAAAAGCCCCAAAGGAAAGTAGCCAGTTTCTTGGCTAAAACTCACAATGTCCTTGGGTCTCCATTCCAAAGGCCAAAAATGTTGAAAATATTTGGGAGCTTAAAAGATTTTAGGGTTATCTCTTCAGAAGTGGGAATATTAGAGTAGCCAAAAGCCCCCTAAAAAATAAACAAATAAATCAAAGAAGAAGAAAGAGTACATGAAGTTATAAGAAAAAAGTCATGGGGAGATGGGAGGAGTTGGAGGGGAGGGAGTGGGAATGGATTTTATCAAAACACCTTATATGCACGTATGAAATTCTCAATAAATTATTTTAAAATATTTTATTTATTATATTAATTTTATGTGTATCAATGTTTTTCCTGCTTGTATGTAATGTACGCATGTTATGCAATGCCCATAGAGGTCAGAAGATGGCATCGGATCCCCTGGAACTTGAGTTAGGACAGTTGTTAGCCACCATGTGGGTGCTGGGAATCGATCCCTGGTCCTCTGCAAAAGCAGCCAGTGCTCTTATCTGCTGAGCCATCCCTCCAGCCCTCTGTGTGAATCGTCTTTAATCTCCTGGTCCCTCATGACCCTCTGTTTCTGGCCCTTGAACCTGGCCTCCACAGTAATAACTTTTAATATCCTGCATCATTTTAGGGAGTGTTTAAGGCTATTCACATGGATGTAAAAGCATAACAAGATTGTACAAACTAAAGGAGGGGTAAGTTAAAAGAGACAGCACAGGCATGAATATGGTGAAAATGCTTGTGAGGATGAAGGCTGATACCCTTTCTCTAGCTGGAACATACAGCTACAGGGAAGCCTTTAAGCAGTGAAATAGCCCTGTGTATACATACAGCCAATTAGAGCACAGAGAAAAACTAGTGGCCTGTTATAAAGTTAATAAAAAATCTTGTAAAGAATAAAGTACCTTGACTATATGGCCAAAAAAAACCAAACCAAAACAAAACAAAACAAAAAAAAAAATCAAGGCAAAGAAAATTGGAGTAAAAAGAAGCAATGGCTTTGGTGTACTGTGTAAAGAGGGAGGAAATATCCTTACCTATGCAGCAAACAATGAGGTTTGTTTCCTCCCAGGCCTGTCTAACCATTTTATTTATAATTTTTTTTTGAGACAGGGTCTTCCTGTAGCCCCAGCTGGTCTGGAACTGACTACATAGACCAGGCTGCTCTCAATCTCATAGAGATTCACCTGCCTCTGCCTCTTGAATGCTGGGACTAAAGGCATGCATCACCACACTGGGCTGTATGGCCCTACTTGACGTTGGGACACACCATTGTTATCTACAAAGTTCATGCTCAAGAACTGTACAATAGAGGTCCAAAATGAAATCACAGAAAGTTCTCATAATGTTTTAAGTTTATGATTCTATACTGGGCTGCTTTCATAGCTCTCCTCAGCTTCAAGGGCCATCATTTGGACACACCTGTGAGGCAACAGGTGTAAGATCAGGCATGTGGGCTAGAGGTTACAAAACAGCCATTTCCCCTATGCGTATAAGAGGGATGAAAGGTCTAAGGTGAGGTGCTCTATGAATCTGAATTGTGAAGATGGTATTTACTTTTCCTCAGTTTGAAGAAAGCAGTAAGATTGGACATGTGCCGGTGCCTGCCGGCAATGATCGAACAGAACCTGAAACGGGAGTGAGGATTAAAGAATACAAGTAAAACTTGTCTAGGGAGGGCTGCAAATCTTTATTTGCCAGCCTCAAGTTTATTTCCAGTAGATCTTATATGCAGTTTTTGCTAGACATTACATCAGTCTCACAAGATTAGACCACCTTCTCAAGAGAGCCAAGAATCTGTCAGGTGATTACATTAATTTTAAACACACAATACCAGGAACAAGAAAACAAGAAAACAGGAGCACTTGAAATAAATAAAATGTTCTGAAATCAAAATGTTCTTTTCACCTCAATAACTTTTCCCCAGGGGTTGGGCTACTCAGTGAGAAGTCAGGCATATCAGTTTTTCTAAAGATCAGACCACACAGCTCTCCACAGTTCCCCCTTTTTTATTTTCTAAAGAAGAGAAGATTGTGCCTGTCTTAGGTTGTTCCCTCTATAGCAAAGCCTTACCCGTCATAGGTGCTTGAATAGTAAAATTCAAGTTCTGTCTTAGGTTGGCAATACCATGAAGAAATCTTACCCGTCATTGACCACCAACCTCTCTTCTAGGGGTACTCTGTAACTTCATTTTGAGCATTTCAGATCTTATGTTCAGAAAAGATCTCACAATTTGTCTGATCATAGGAGGAAGCAAACACAGCCCAACTACAAGGATAAATCCTACAGAGAGAAAGCCCTTGATACAGGAAATAACATAAGTAATTGAAGGAAAAGAATTCTTTAAATGTGACACAAAATCAGAAGCCATGCATGTCAGATTAAAACTTAATGGCTGAGCCTGTTGAATACTCAAAATCTCCTGTTTCAACTTAATCAAATCCAAAGAGACATTTTCATTATGCCAAACTCCTTGTAAATGCATTTTTACACAATCCCAATTATAGCTAGTAGAATTATACTTTAAAGGAGTCACATATATCCAAGAATATTCTGCATGACATTTAAGATTTACATATCTTTTTAATGCTTTTAGTTCATCTCCCAGAAACATTAAAGTCTCATATAATAAATTCAATTTATGCTCTATTTTTTGATCTATATCTTCTTGTGTTCCTAAACTTAAGGAGACATTCTTTGTCAAAGTATTAACATAAGTAGCTGTCTGAACTTCTTGAGAGACACTAACAGCAGCAGTATCAGTAGTGGCTATAAGCAAAATTAAGGATATTATACTAACCATTACCAACCCTAAAGTGCGATGAGTGCGCTGCAAAGCATATTCAATTTTTGTAAGTATAAAAAATCCCTTATCTTGATACCAAGGTCCAGAGATATTAACAGGATGCATAAGAAATACTGTCTGCCTCAGTACAATAAACTTTTCACTCTGTGGTGAAAAATGTACACAATTAGATAAACTGCAATTGCCACAAGTTATATTAAATTGATTCCCATTGAAGGAAATGTTAAAATTCCCAAACATTAAAACATATGGATTATTAACACAAGCAGTTACATTCCCTTTTAATGGGCATCCAGACACATGATTATTCTTTGTTTTTGAGCAATTAAATAATCCATGAGTACAATTATATCCCTTCCCATGTCCTTGAATTTTAGAAAACGCTGTAGCTAACTTCCAAAGATAGCTTTGCAAATACCAAGTACTAGGCCACCATAGTCCTGCAGCAAGTCCTTTATTCCAGTCATGCTCAGTTCCTCCTTGTGGACTCTCTTCAGTTCCTCCTTGCTGATTACCAGACCAGTCCAAAATATGTGTCTGTGCCAGAAATATTATATCTCAAAGGAACTGACCCTAGACACCTTCTCCAGAGTAAAGATGTATTACTCAAATTATATTGATGATCACATAATGAAAACTGTTGTGGCCTCTTCTCACCCAACTGTGGATCTCCTCGTGGCAGGACTAACTCTGCTGTTGTACAACATCCTGAAGAGCCTATTTTTTTTTTTTTATGTGAATCCACTTTTACACATCCTGGAGCAGTATTATTGTTAACAAAACAAATGGGAGTCCCCACACCTTTCCCTTCATATGTATAATTTACTTCTTTTTGTGATTTAAGATCCTTATTAGTGGGGTGATTTAGGAGAGCAGAATCATTTACTATCACAATGATTTCTGGACCCTCCCATACTGCTGGATGTAGAAATGGAGGATCAGGAACATATGCCCAATACTGCTCTGACTCGTCATCAATCACACCTTGGATCCTTGTCAGCCACAGACTCACCAAACTCAGCAAACCGCACCAGCCGTTCTGGCAACCAGCGTGCATTTTCAGCATCCTGTGGAAAAACAAAAACATGCCCTTGTCCCCAAATGAGTACTGGATCTGGCCCATTCCATTTTCCTGTGCAAGGATCTTTCCACTTAACCTTTGCATAATTTGTGGAAGTTGATGGATGCCACAATCTATCTGCCACAGAGTGACCCTGTACATCCAAATTCAAAAAATTTAAAATAAAGAGAGTGTGATTTAACAGATTTTGTGGTGAATGGATATACAACTCCCCCTTTTTTATTTTATCCAATCGTATTTTTAAAGTGCCATGAGCATGTTCAACAATACCTTGACCCTGTGGATTATAAAGAATACCTGTTTTATGCTGAATAGCAAATTGTACACAAAACTCTTGAAACTTATGAGAAGTATGCCCAGAACCATTGTCTGTTCTTAAAACTTTTGGTGTTCCAAGTACAGAGAAGCAACGCATGCAATGAGTGATAACATGTTTAGTGCCTTCACCAGTAAGAGCAGAAGAAAGTATAAATCCAGAGAATTGATATAGTAACATGAACATATTTCAACCGACCAAATTCAGGAATGTGGGTAACATCCATTTGCCATAATTGATTAGGAACAAGTCCACGAGGATTTACTCCCCAGTGTGGAAATTGAATTGTAACAGGACAGTGTGGACAATGGCGAACAATATCTCGAGCAGCTTCTCTAGATATACCAAATTGCAGCCTTAAACTATTGCTGTTCTGATGATGTTTAGCATGTGCTTGCTGAGCAAGCTCCACTTTAGAGAAAGCCACAATTTTTGTGTTAAGATCGGCCAAATCATTCCCTTGAGCAAGAGGTCCAGGCAAGCCAGAATGTGCTTGAATATGGTCAATAAAGAATTTCTTTTTTCTAGTAATAATAAAAGATTGAATTTGTGAGAACAATTCATGCACTATGCTATTAGAAGTTTTTATGACAGGAACGGTTTCTAAAAGACGTAAAGCAGAAAATACATAGAAACTATCAGTATAAAGATTAAACTCTTGATGTGGGAATTTTTGAAACACTAAATCAATAGCTTGAAGTTCAGCAATTTGTGATGAAGAATGTGGTGTACTCACAACAACACTTCCACCATTGATAACATAGGAGGCTTTCCCATTGGAAGAACCATCCATAAAGACTAACAAAGCATCTGGTAGGGGAACAGAACTTGTAACTTTAGGAAATATAATTTCTGTATTCTGAAAAAACTGTAGAAGTTTATGTTTTGGGTCATGATTATCAACTTGTCCTGAATAATTTGCTAGAGCAATTCCCCAAGTGTCAGAAGTTTGAAACAACCAGTCAACTTGCAATTTGCTAAAAGGAACTATAATTCTAGCAGGCTCTTTCCCAAAGTATTTATTAGACTCAGATCTAATGAGTTGTATTAATGTAGACACCGATTCATGATAAGGAAGCAGGACTTTGGCAGGGGACACAAGTAAATGAATCCATAATAATGGACCATCCTGCCATAATACTGCAATTGGAGTATGTTTTGTGGCAAAAATACAAGCCTCCCAAAGCTTTTCATAATTAATATAACACACTTGTTGTTGCGCGATAGCAGATTCTACCTTTTCCAATGCTTCACGCGCTTCTTTAGTAAGTTCCCTTGGTGAAGTAGGATCAGAATTTCCTATTAAAATTTGAAACAAGGGACGTAACTCATGAGTAGTAAGTTTTAAATAAAGATGTAACCAATTAATATCTCCCAATAATTTCTGAAAAGCATTAAGGGTTTTTAGATTATCCTTTCTGATTTGAATTTTTTGACGTTTAATTTCTTTAGGATAAAGAATGTGGCCTAAATAAGAATATGGAGAATGTCTTTGAATTTTCTCGGGGGCTATTTGTAGACCAGATTGCTGCAAAGCCTGCTTAATGCATATGAAGACTTGTAGAAGTAAGCTCTCATCTTGATGCGTGAGCAATATATCATCCATGTAATGGATGATGTAAACATGTTTAAAGGACTCACACACTTCCTGAATGGCCTGAGCCACAAATTTTTGACACAAAGTAGGACTGTTAGCCATACCTTGAGGCAAGACCACCCATTGATATCTTTTTAATGGTTCTTTAAAATTCACTGAAGGTACACTAAAAGCAAATCTTTTGCAGTCCTGTGGTGCCAAAGGAATAGTATAAAAGCAATCTTTTAAATCTAAGATAATTTTATAAGTATTATGAGGCACAGCTGAAGGTAAAGGTAAACCTGGTTGTAGAGCTCCCATAGATTCCATAGTTTCATTGACTTTTCTAAGATCTTGCAACAACCTTCATTTTCCTGATTTCTTTTTTATAACAAATATTGGAGAGTTCCATGGAGAATTAGAGGACACAATATGTCCTGCGCCGAGCTGTTCCTGCACTAACTGCTCAGCAGCAGCTATTTTTTTCTGCTGAGAGAGGCCACTGATTCACCCATACAGGTTCTTCACTTTTCCATACAATCAGATCTGCGTGAGGTGCAGGCTGCTCAGTGACCTCAGCTAAAAATACCCTAACCCAAGTCTATTATTTTTTATTACTGGTTGTAAAGGTGTACATAGCCCCTGGGATTTTTTCCCTAAACCTGAATAAGGAAGTAATCCTTGATTTAACAATTGCTGTCTAACTTGATTATTTGAACTGAAAATATAAACCCCCATTTTAGACATAACATCTCGACCCCAAAGATTCATAGGCAGTCCAAAGACAATATAAGGAATGAAAAAACCTTCATTTCCCTCATCATCTTGCCAATGAAGTTCATCACTACTTTGTTCTGGATTCATACTCTGCCCAGTACTTTGTAGATAAGTAATAGTAGCTTTTTTAGGCCATGATTTCGGCCACTGTTGTTCTGTTATTACAGGCACATCTGCACCTGTATCTAGTAAGCCTGTAAATCTTTTTCCTTTAATTGTTAAACTTAATTCGGGCCGAGTCTCTTGAATTGCTTGAACCCAATATGTATCAGAGGATCTGAAGCCTTGAGACGTCCTGATCTGTTTCTGGCTCTTTGTCTTAATGGGAAACAAAGGAAGCAATAATAACTGCACTAAATGCTGTCCTTGCTGTACTACTGAAATCTTTGAAGGAGAATATACCATAATTTTTATTTCTCCCTGAAAATCTGCATCAATAACTCCAGGAGAAACTAACAATCTTGTCATAGAGACACTACTTCTACCTAATATTAGACCCACTGACCCTGAAGGCAGAGGGCCAAAAATTCCTGTTGGCAAAGCTTGCATCCCCATTTCTGGTGTTAGTACTGCGTAGGTGGAGGAACTGAGGTCCAGTCCTGCGCTGCCTGGGGTTGCTTGGAAGAGTTCCAAAATGAATTGTTTCCCTTCTGGAATGCCCCATACATTGTCACGGGGCCTGAGGCTGGCCCCTCCTCTCATTTCCCGAAAGAGGATTGCCTTGCAGATCTCTTTTTGACTTACATTCATTAGTCCAGTGTCTGCCTCTTTTACACATAGGGCAGACCCCAGGACCTTTCTCCTTGTCAACTTTAGAGTTGCCTCAAGGGCAGTTTCTTTTTACGTGTCCTATTTGTCCACAATTAAAACACTTCCCTGCACCAGCTTTTCCTCCTTTGATTCCTTTTCATTGTTGAAACATAATATCTGTCATAGATTTTCCTTGCAAAGCAGCAGCTATAGCTACACCTTGTGTATAAGAAGACCCAATGTCAGAACAAATTCTAACATAATCAGACAAGTTCCTTTCTTTCTATAAGGCCTGAGAGCAGCTTGACACACCGAATTAGCATTCTCATAAGCCAGTTGTTTTACCAACAACCCTGCATCACTGTCTCCTATAAGTCTTCCTGTAACCTGCAGAAGTCTTGACACAAAATCCTGATATGGCTCATCGGGACCTTGTCTAATCTTAGATAAGTCTTCAGTCTGCCTTCCAGAAAAGGGCAACTTATACCAAGCTCTCTTAGCTGCAGCACTGGTTTGAGCATAGGCAGCTATATTAAAGTTTATTTGCTGTGCTGTTTCTTTATATTGTCCTTCACCTGCAAGCATATCAAAATCTACTGGGATATGCTGAGCCCTATTAATATCTGCAGTAGCCTGACATTGTTCTCCAAATTCTGACTTCCATAAAAGAAAATCTCCTCCTGTCAGGCAAGCTTTTGCCAATTGTTTCCAATCATTAGGAGTCAAGGCATCAGTAGATAGAGACTCCAACATAGCCTGAGTGAAAGGTGCAGTAGGTCCATATTGTGCACAAGCAGTTTTTAATTCTTTTGTTTGAATGGAAAAGGAATATGTGTCCTAACTCTATTTCCCTGTCCATCATCCTGTTCCATAACTGGAAAAAGATTAAATCCTGATATATCATCTCCTTTTGCAGCCGCTTGTTGCACAACCTTTTGTAATGGTGATATTAAAGACAAAGGATGAGGTTCAGAAGAATGTTTCACCACTACAATCACAGGTTTATCTTCCACCTCAGGGGGATCTAGTCCTGCAACAACAGAAGGAGTGGGGAAGCCACAAAAAGGCAGCTTCTTTTGTATAATATTTACTTGATCTACTAATATATTTAACTTTCTCTGCATATGCTTCATCTGTCTTACCTCTGACTGCTCCTTTGCAAATGAAATTAGAGGATAGGAATTCTCTTGTAATTTTAATGCAGCCACTTCCCTAGTCACATCAAGTTCCTCATCATAGTTTTCTTGTGAATCATCAAATAAAAGCCTCAGGGCATCAGTCATCTCGGACTCCGGGGGAGCGGAGGGTTGCTTAGTTTCATTTTGGACGCACTTGTCAGACATTTTTTCTTTTTCTGATTGAGGATCTAGGGAATCCCAAATCAGGGTCCAGAGACTAAAGGTATCTATCGGAACTTTCTCTGGTCCCTCCTTATCATAATAATCCTGCAGTTCCTTTCCCAATTTTTGCCATACTTCTGTATCTAATGTACCCTGTTCAGGAAACCAAGGACAAACCTTTTCAACAAAATCCATAAAATTATTTAATTTTTGTAAGCTTACTTTAGCTCCTCTTACCTTAAGCATATTTTTAAGCATATGTACAAAGAGCAGACAACTATTTCCCTGACCCATACTTACTCCCTTGTATCACCACTGTGAGCAAAATCTTACCGAGCGCTCTCCGTTCCATGGCATCCTTCACTAAATCCCTGCTTTTCAGGGTCCCTGTTTGGGTGCCACCTGCCGGTGCCTGATGGCAATGATCGAACAGAACCTGAAACGGGAGTGAGGATTAAAGAATACAAGTCTCGGAAGGGCTGCAAATCTTTATTTGCCAGCCTCAAGTTTATTTCCAGTAGATCTTATATGCAGTTTTTGCTAGACATTACATCAGTCTCACAAGATTAGACCACCTTCTCAAGAGAGCCAAGAATCTGTCAGGTGATTACATTAATTTTAAACACACAATACCAGGAACAAGAAAACAAGAAAACAGGAGCACTTGAAATAAATAAAATGTTCTGAAATCAAAATGTTCTTTTCACCTCAATAACTTTTCCCCAGGGGTTGGGCTACTCAGTGAGAAGTCAGGCATATCAGTTTTTCTAAAGATCAGACCACACAGCGCTCTCCACAGGCATGCAGGCTAAAGGTTACAAAACAGCCATTTCCCCTATGCTTATAAGAGGGATGAAAGGTCTAAGGTGAGGTTCTCTATGAATCTGAATTGTGAAGATGATATTTACTTTTTCTCAGTTTGAAGAAAGCAGTAAGCAACAAAAATATCAAATATTAGGAATAAATTGTGAGTGTGCTATGAAAGAAATATAGAGGAACACATTTGTTTTTCCACAATGTCAAAATTTATTGAATAAGCACAGCAGTTTTATCAGCAACAATTTGCCAAGCAGTCCAATTTTTCTAGATATCAGACTAAGAAAAACACAGATTCTTTTATTCCAGTTTTAATTACTAATATTAACTCACAGAATGCACATTACACATTATAGTCAATATATTTATATCTACACACACACACACACATGCATATATGTAGGTTGCAAATGTCTACAAAAGCTACAAAAAGCTACAAAGAAGCCACAGTAGAGTTTAAGGAATTTCAAAGGCCTGAGAAACAGTAACTGGGGATGTAGAAGAATGTCTGAGGGAGTGAGAGAATGAGCCAGGCTAGAGGTCTGTTGGAGATGCTGCTGCTGCCGTAGCATGAGGCTGCAGGGTCAGAATTAGCTGCAGAAGCAGCTTGCAGGGGAGGCTGGTGAGGTGAAGGGCAGGACTGGTTCAAGTGAACAAATGAGTGGACAAATGGATGGCAGCTCCAGATGGATGAATGGGGTTGACAGACCTCAACTGCAGGGACTCAACTGAACTGAAGCCCCTGGGACAATTGTGAGTTCTCTGCCTGTTGGTCTTTTGACACACTGGATCATCAGATGACAGGTGAGTGGCTGTTACCATTGCTGTGTCAGGTGTCTTCCTTTTTATGGAGTCCAGGTGAGGGAGTCACACCCTTTCTTCAGTCTTGTGTGTGGGGCCTGGTTTTCCTCAGAAAATTTTAATACACCCATGTGTTCTTAAAGTCCCAATTTACTTTGGTAAGTTTTAGGGTGACACCTTTTTTCTTTCTTTTTTTTCTGAGACAGTCCCTCCCTGTAGCTTAGATGGCCTGAAACTTGCTATGTAGACCAGTCCAACCTCAATCTCACGTCCTCTTGCCACTGCCTCCTAAATGCTGGGATTAAAGGTATGAGCCACCATACCTGGCCTCCTTTCTACTTTTAGGAATAAGTCATTCATCATTCTGTACCTTGGAGGTCATGCCTGACACATGGTGTTGTTTGTGTCCAACCAGGTGCATAGCTGCTATTCATCCTGAAAAAGATGCTTGTAAAATGGAGTCTTCCCTGGGCAAGGCAAAGTCTGAAAAAGCCACCATTTTTACCCAGTAAGGTATAACTTAGGGAAGGGCACAACCTGAGCTCAACAAAAATATTTAAAAAGTAAAACTAAAATGAGGCAGAACAGAAAGAGGAAAGTCATAGTGACATGAGAAGGAAAGCCTGGGGGGTGGGGGTGGGGAATCAGCCCTTTATCCCAGCTGCCTCTTCTGCTGAGAAAGGCAGGAAACTTCAGATTCCACTGACAAAGCCCACATGGCCCACAGAAACAATGTGTTTTCCAAATGACCTGTTGTCAAGGAGAGTAAATAAACTGTGCTTACTTAAGGCCAAAATGATGTAAAACCTTGAGTTTCTACCTCTCTCCTGTCATTCCTAAACCTTAAAAGCACACATCATAAATCTACCTCAAACTATTGACAGCAGGAAATTCTTTACTCATTAACCTTGTTATAAGCTACATTCTTTGAGCAATAATTTAAAAAAAGGGGGGGGTGTTTAGCAATCTTTAAAAATGTCACTTGAGAGCCTCCAAAATTATATATATATGAAACCTAAATGTGACTCTCCCTTGAGAAGCCCATGCCCATATTGTTGAATGTGCTTTACTCTCTTGAAGTACCTTTACATTTGTTTTAATAAATCCACCTTTACTTCATATTGGCTCTCCCTGAAATTTTTTTCTTCACTGAAGCCACAAATCCCAGTTTTGTCTGAATGGAGATTTCTAACAGGAAGGGGAACTCTTTAGGCTACTGTGGAGTGGAGAGCTGTGTGTGTCCAGTCCCTACTGCTGGTGACATAAAGTAATACCCTAAAATGTTATGTTTAATAATCCTGATAAAGGAGCTAGCTCTCTGCAGATAGTAGTGGAAAACTTCAAGTTCTTTGCATATTGGCAGTGAGAACAGGAGCTGGAGTTAAAAGGAAGATTAAAGGCCAAACCACCAAAGCCTGGAACGCTGAGGAAGATGAATTAAAACAGATTGTACCAGGGCTGGAGAGATGGCTCAGCGGTTAAGAACACTAGTTGTTCTTGCAGAAGACCCAGGTTCAAATCCCAGCACCCACATGGCAGCTAACAACTGTCCATAACTCCAGTCCCAGGGGATCCGACAGCCTCTTCTGACCTCTGCAGGCATTGTACGACATGGGTGTACCTACCTAAATGCAGGCAATACACGCATACACATAAAATAAAAATAATAAAATTTAAAAACAAAACAAAACAAAAACGGATTGTACCTTTAATCCCAGCACTTGGGAGGTAGAGGCAGGCAGATCTCTGTGAGTTCAAGGCCAGCCTGGTCCTACATAGTGAGTTCCAGGCCAGCTAGGGCTACAGGGAGACCCTGTCTTAAAAGGACCAAAAAAAAAAAAAAAAAAAAAAAAAAAAAAAAACCAGATTGTAGCTGGATGTGACATAACCAAGCCACAGATAAGAGGGGGACCCAGCTTTCGGCTACTAATGACAGACAGCCTCTCCCCATTCGAAAGCCTTAGAAGAGCAGGTATAAGACCCTATTGTCCTTTCATGTTATTCTTGCTTCTAATGCAGCTAATTATAAAAGATTATATAAACAAAGCTTCTAAGAAAGCCTCTACCTATTTAAAAAAGAGACCCAGATAAATCTTGGGTAATGACCCGTTGGTCTCAAATAAACCTTATCTAGAGATATATTTCTTGATCTATTATGTATAATTTGTCAGTAGATTGCCTTCAGGGAGGGATGTGGGTGATGAGGGCCCAGCCCAAGACCCGCATCTGGGCACCACAAAAATGTGTGTTGTGTGACACAAGAGGCCTGGGTCATTCTGCGTCAGGAAGTGACCTGAGTTCCTGTTTGGCAGTGGAGGACCTTGGATCCAAGACAGGTGCTGCCCCACCCCATTCCTATAGAGACCAGGCTAGTTGTTCATGGTGTTCATGAGCTTAGATTGGGCTTTAGAATCCTTCTCAACACAGCGTTCCGTGGAGCCCAGCCAAATGATTGGAGTTGGCCCTTGGATCATCTTCAGCTTGCTTTTCCTGCCCTGCCAGGTTCATCTTTAGACCTGTGCTGTGCCCTGTACCCTGGAGAATGAACAGACAGCTGGGGAGAGGGGGAGGGGACTCCATCAGAGCTGCTCTCCATGGCCTTTCACAGTCTGGCAGGGTGTTTGCTTTTGGAGTGTTTCTGCCTGGTCCTACCTGTTTCATGGGTGAGCTACTGGGGTGGACGGTGGACAAGTGGCTCCTTCCTCCTCCCTGTCTCCCACTGTCCCTGTTCCTCTGTGTTGTGTCATGCTGACACTGAGATTTGGTGGGCACAGTTTCTTAAGAGCCCTGCCTGACAGAGGAGACTGGGTGCTCCCTTTAGACATGGGAGATGGGGTCTAGGCTGGCTGGGTTAAAATTGACAGCTAATTACAGCTGCATCTGCAGGTGCCCTGGTAAGGCTTAGATTATGCTTCCTGACTTTTCCTGGGTTTGGGGTGCCCCCTAGGAGAGGACTGTTGGCTGGCGCTGTTCAAAAGCCTTTACTCAGCCTGGGCCTGAGCAAGCTTGTCTGTCTGAACCCCGACTTCTCAGGGATGAACCATGAGAAAGGGCTTAATGCCTGTTTGCCATGAAGCAGGGACCTAGGACCTAATGTGTGCTAAGTGGCGAGTGGGATATTATGGGACCAGGAAGGCCTCACCCAGGCTTGCCAGACCTTTATGGTGACAGAGTCTGTTATAACAAGGCCTGGGGATGTAGCTCAGTTGGTAGAGTGATTCCCTGGGATGCATGAAGCCCTGGGTTCAATCCCCAGCACCACAGAAACTGGATGTGGTGGTGTACATCTGTAATCTCAGCACTCAGGAGGTAGAGGCAAGAGGATCAGAAGTTCAAGATCATCTTGAGCTACTTAGGGAGTTTGAGGCTTGTCTGGGCTCTATGCAACCCTATCTTAAAAAAAAAAAAAAAAAAAAGAGACCCAGATCATCTCACAGTGAGTTGACTAAAAAAGCTCCAGCTACTTCTTGGTATCTTTGAGAACAGGGTGCTCAGTGTAACTAACAGGGGCTTCAACCATCCCTAACCATGGAGGCAGTGAGTGAACAGTACGTGATCACCTCTGCATGGGTCAGGGAGACATGCCAAGAGTGTGCCATCCCCTAACTCCCCATTGGCGCAGCCAGAAATACATCTAGGGACTTAACCAATTTCATAGCAATCACCTCAGCCTTTGTCCAGTTTCAGCCATACCCTCTAAAAACTTGGACAAAGAAATTCAATAGCCTTTTCTTCTCTCAGAATCCATTCCTATTCTCAAGAGTTTCTCTCATTTTTCTTTCTTTTTTTTCTCATTTTTTCTTTACCTTCTCTTAATAAAGCTTGCCTTACTCCCACAAATGTCTGTGTCATGGAACACTCAGACAAGGAAGGAACTCTGTCTCAGGTTGACTTTAAAATTTTTTATTTACTTATTTATTCTTATTTTATGTGTATGAGTGTTTTGCCTGAATGCATTTAAGTGCACAAAGAGCTTGCAAACACATGGAGGGAGGCCAGAAGAGGGCATTGGATCCCCCTGGAACTGGAATCACAGAGGTGCTGGCCACCATGTGGGTGCTGGGAACTGAACCTGGGTCCTCTACAAGAACAGCCAGTGCTCTTAACCATTAAGCCATCTCTCCAACCCCCTTGGGTTTACTTTTGATGGCTGTTGCATTTCCAGCATCTTAAGCCAGAGTCAAACACAAATGGTCTGAGATAGGTCCCATCACACTCAAAAGCCTATAGCAACCCAAATAAAAAACTATAAGAATCTTGATATACCCAGTGGGGAAAATGGGCATTGATGGAATAGTTAAAAGCTTTAAATACAGCCTGGTGTGGTGGGACATTCCTTTAATCCCAGCACTCAGGAGGCAGAGGCAGGCAGATCTCTTTGTTTCAAAAAACAAAACAAAACAAAAAATCAATAAATCGAATGGATTTTTTTTTAACCAGGCTTTAATATGTATATAACTATTTTGCCCACATACATGTAAGTGTACCAGTGTGTTCAATGCCTGTGGAGATCAGAGGAGGGCATAGGATCACCTGGAACTGGAGTTACAGAGGGTTGCTGGCCACCATGTGGGTGCTGGGAACCAAACCAGGTCCTCCGAAAGAGCATCCAGTGCTTAACCACCGAGCCATCTCTCTACCCCCACCTTTAACAAAAAAATAATGCTGCCAGGAAGGGATATTTAAATACAGAACAAGCAAGGTTCTTGATTGCTTTTGGTGGGGGGGGGTTATTTGGCTTACACATCCCAATCTTTGAGGGAACTAAGGCAGGAACTGAAGCACATACCAGAGGAACACTGCTTACTGACTTGCTCCCCTGGCCTGTGCTCAGCCTGCATTCTTATATAGCCTAGGACCAACTGCCCAGGGTGGCACTGCCCAGGGTGTGCTAGGCCCTCCCATATCAATGAACAATTAGGACAATGCCCCATAGACATGACCACAGGCCAATCTGATGGAGGAAATGCCTCAATTGAGGTTCCCTCTTTCCAGGTGTGTCAAGTTGACAGCTGTAACTATCCAGCACAGAAGAGGTCCCACTTTTCTTCTTTGTAGGGGTTCTAGCTTTACCTTATATCAAGGGTTCATCGGAGTTTGATGCCTCAGTAGATAACTTTTTTAAGTACATTAGATTAGCTACGCCAGAGAAGGTTCCCTTTTACAAATGACTCACAAGGGAGCAAAGTGAGCTCTTCATGGAGACTTACCTGGACTTGCAAAGACGTGTGTATAAGTGTGTCACTGGCGATTCTGGAGTCCATCTGAAAATGTTGAGGAAGCAAGGACATGTCTCCTGTTTCGCAACCTCTCCACAATCCTACTCACTGGAGTAGGGAACAATCCCGCCCTTCAGGCTGATTGGCTGCGGAACCGCAGGGGCGGTGGCTGCGTGTCTGCTTTACTCTAAGTGGAAGAAGCCCTCTCCCCATCGAAGTAGCGGCTTTTGAAGCTTTGAGAGGCCGAGGCCGCTGCTTGCATCTTCCCGGCTTTCCGCTAAACTCCAAGCCTCTTCTTCCAAAATCCCCATCTTGGCGGACACTGCATAGGGGAGCCCGCCCGAGCCCGAGGTAGGGGCGCGTGGAGTGGGCAGTTCCCAGGAAGGGTCGGGTTCTCCAGTTTCTTGAGCGCGGTTCCCGTCCGTGGAAGAGGGCGTCTCGGAGAGTGTGGAGGACTCGGAAGTCCGTAGGGGACCAAGTGGTTCCAGCCCAGTCGCTGGAGGAGCCCCGGGAGCATCCTGAAGCGGCATTTTCCGCGCCAGCCACGCGGTGTGGATCCTGCTGCCCGGCCACGCGCAGGATCCACATCCTGCTGCCCAGCGGCGCGCAGCTCTAGCCGGGCGGCTCTGGCCAGGGGCGGTAGAGGAGCACCGGGCGGTGGAGGAGCATTGGGCGGAAGGGATCCCGCAGGGCGGCGGTGGTGGAGCGGGGTTCACGTGGGTGGTGGGGACGCTGGGCGCCCACAGGGAAGCCCTTAGGTGCGTTACCTCCCGGCCCTGCCGGGAGCAGCGGGCGGGCACTCCTCACCCCTGAGCTCCAAGAAGGGAGTAGCCGGCAGCCTCCTCCCTCTGAACTTCCACCATAGCCTCCCGACCTTGTATTTGGCTAATGAACTGTGGTTTCTTCCCAGGTCGAGATGGAGCTTGAAGAGGACCGCAGTGGAAGAGCAGGGAAGAACTCGAAGATGGGCAAAAAAAGGTAGCAGACTGTTCCACTTTCGAATTTTACAGGGTCTCAGGCAATTTGTAGCCTCCAGCGCTGCAGCAAAAGGCGAGTGGTTGCTATTTCAGTCAAGGAATTCAAACAAGCCTTTGGAAGCACTTCTCTGCTTGTAGCAGAAGTTCTTTGGCTGTGTGAGGCACAGCTGTAGGCCCGGCCATTGCTCACATCCATTTTGTTTTATTACCTCTACTTTAGGAACAATAGAGGTCCTTTACCCACCTGAGCTATATGCTGTTTGGGGTCTTTGCTGTGGTCCATTATCTTCTGATAACCTTATAAATATTGTGGCGTGACAGCCCAGACCAGAGGTCAAAACTACATCTAAGTTGTATTTGTTTGCCTATCTACATTAGGAAACTAAAATTATAATTGCAAAGACAAAATAGTTACTTTGAGTACATTTTGATTACAGTCCTCTCTGTGACAAGAAATTCAAATCTTAACTCATTTGGTTCACTGTAGAAAATTGTAATAGTGAATATATTAATATAATTAGGAGCCAAGTGTTTCAGTGTAAGGAGGGAATATACAAAGTTTTCTTGGTGCTTTCCAGCCTAATGCCATGTAGAAAAATAAGTAATTTCATCCAGATCCAGGGCAGAAAATACAAAGTGAACCTGGAGTATCTTGTAGTACTAGAAAATGAGGAGGCAGAGTTTAATGGACTGTTCAAAGAACACAGGGGCAGTGGAGATGGCTCAATAGTTAAAGGCACCTGCCTCTAAGCCTGAACATTTCCTGGACTGACATGGTGGAAGGAAAGAATTGACTTCCACAAGTTGTCCTCTAACTTCCCCAGGTGTATCTTGGCATATGAGCACCCCCTGCATGGCACCCCACACAGTAAATAAAAAGTAATTTTTTAAATGAAACAAAACAAAACAGGACCAGGTTAGAAGGGTTTCCACTGGCCAAGCCTGAGAAAGTTGGGACTTCAAAGAAAATAATAACAATAATGATTTTGAGATGCTGGATACAATACCCTTAATGACTCAGTACTCTGAGAGGAGGGACACAGTGTGTGAGGGGTAAAGAATAACAATGGAAAGTCTACAGAAAAATGCAGCTCTCGCCCTGGAACCTGCACTATTATATACAGTTGAGACAAGGATTGTCAATGGATCCCAAACACTGTTGAAACAAACAGAAAAAAAAGTTGTATCTAATACTTATTTTCCCTATTTCTATTAATGGGAAGAGGAAAAATGTGCTTTCTGGGGGAGTTTGCTTTTGCCACCTTCACGAAGTGATCAAACTTAGCACCACTACTGATGGCATAGACTGAAGTTACTTGTCATGATGATGATACAGGGTAAAACGGGGTTCCTCTTAGGGTTCGTAGTCTCATTAATAAAAGAATTTAAGAATGGACCCAAGTGGAAGCTTTAGGGCAATTTTTTTAGAGTTTAAAAGAAAAATCATCAGGGCAGACAAGCTGTAAATCTCAGCAGCTGCCCAGAGGAGTATGGAGGAGAGAAGGAAAAAGTCATGCCCCATGACAGTTTAAGCTGTGATGGAAGTCAGACACGTAGACTGTGATGGAGGCAACCACATTGCAGGGAGGAGAGCTTTAGACAAAGAGTAAGAAAGCCAAAAATATTGGGACAGCCCAAAAAGTTAGGGGAAGCATGCTTAGAAAAGAGGTAAAAGAAAAGGAAAGGCTCTTCTGAAGAAGCCAGCAGACCTACAAAGGGACATGTTTGTGTCCCCATAAGTAAATGCCTTCTGGGCAGGGATTCCAGGCAGGACATTTCACCATCTCATTAAAGCATTCGTTACTGTGCCTATCCCTCCAGCATGGCTTAAGGTGAACTTGCCTTTCTAGGGGTGGTCCTGTGTCCAGGTGATTGACATGGGCCCAAATGGAATGTTGAGTCTTCAGGCCAGAGATTTTGTTCTTTAGACCAGTTTTCTTTTAAGGGGCCTTTATTGTTACTGTAACAGTAATGTGGTTGGTACTTGAAGAAATAGTGTGTTTGCAAAATCAACCTAGTCAGGCTTCTAGAAGACTGGTGCTAGTGAAGAGAAATGTAATGTGAGCCATACTTGTAATTTAAAATTTCTTAGTGTCAACATTAAAAAGTAAAAGGAAGCAAATGAGATTAAGTTTGAAAAGGTAATGGAGTACTAGTTCCCAGGTATAGTAATTTTTGCATGCAATCAAAATTGTTAATTAGCTAGCTGACATTCTCTTTCACTCTAAGTTCTCCACCTAGGTGTATATTTTATATTACCATACATGCCCCAACTGTGCCCAGTTTGAGACAGATATGTCCAAAATGTGGGACATTTTAGAAGATAACTGCTTAATATAGTAACTTTAAGAACCATATTAACACACACACACACACATTTTTTAAACTTCATTTTATTTTGAGATAGGGTCATGTGGTATAGCAAGGTGCGTTGAATAAGGTGGAGTTTATCCAGGCACTCACTGTAGCTGACCTCCAACTTGTAGATCTTTCCACCAAAAGGTTTTATAATTCCAAGTTAAAATTTGTATGGTTTTTTCTTTTTGGGATTTTTTTTTGTTTTTTGTTTCTTTCTTTTTTTGATGCAGGGTCTCACTCTGTAGCCCAGGCTGGCCTCAAACTGAGAGCAGTTCTCCTGCCTCAGCCTCTCAAGTGCTGAGTTTATAGCCATGACCTCTATACTCTGCTTAAAATGTAGTTTTTTAAAAAATCATTTATTTATTATTTTTATTTTATGTGTATGTGTGTATTGCCTGCATGTAGGTAAGTGCACCCATGCTGTGCAATGCCCATGGAGCACAGAAGAGGATGTTGGATCCCCTGGAACTGGAGTTACAGACAGTTGACAATTTTCTTTACCATTTCCCTCAGCATATCCACAGTACTTTTACTCAGTATACTTAAGTGCTGGGTGTGGTGGTGTATACGTGTAATCCCAAACTATTTGGTAGGCAGAGGCAGGAAGATCACAAGTTCAAGACTTTCCAGGGCTACTGAGCAAGTTTAAGACCAGCCTGAGTAACTTAGTGAGACCCTGTGTCAGACTAAAAAGTAAAGGAGGGCTAGAGAGCTAACTCATTGGTAGAGCACTTGCCCAAAATAAATAAGGCCCTAGGTTCAATGTCTAGTACTGAAGGGGAAAAAAATGGGTATTATCTACAGTATCTATCCATCTATCTATCTATCTATCTATCTATCTATCTATCTATCTATCTATCTATCTATCCATCCATCCATCCATCCATCCATCCATCCATCCATCCATCCATCTAATGTTTTCCTCACAAAAACGTTTGATTAGCAACTTGCCTTTATATACATTGTGTTCAGTTTATGATTTTGAATAATCTAATAGAAATAAGAGTTGGTGTGAAAGTTCTCCCCCTCACTACCCCCGATTAAACCTAGGGTCTCATGCATGCCAGGCAAATGCTGTACTACTGAGCTGTATCCCAGCAGAAAGTATTTTCATACAATACAGCTTGCTGATCTGACGGCAGACTAAATTCTTAGTTTTGTTCTAGCAGAAGGACTTACAGGTTAAATAACTCTTCCCGTATGTTTTTCATCACTGAAGGGGCAAAATTGTTCCTTCCTCAGAGTTGTTTGTGAATTATGTGTTATTTAGCTAGTACCTGGAAAGTCACATCTTCTTCCAAGTAGCATCAGTGTAGAGAATGAAAAAGTAAACACACAGTGCAGAGCTGAGATGGTTTATAGCTATCTCTCCTCCCATCCTGGTTCCAGGGATGCTGAAGTCCTGCTTTAGAGGCATTGGCATGGGACTGATCGTAAGATTCTGTACTTGCTTCTCTGCTGTACCACTCCAAACTGGATTTTTTTTTCTTTAAAACTGTCTTCTGACTTGTTTAGTGTAAAGAAAATAAATATTACTTTTAAACTAAAAAATCTGTACAAAAATAATGCTCTTTTCTAAAATAGTCTTTTATATGTACAAAGAACAATGCTGGTTTGTTCTGTTTAGTTTGCCTTCCTATCCATGATAGCAGTGCCTGAGGTAAATGTGGGTAATGGGTTAGAATCATTTGACTTGAACCTCAGAATAATAGTTGTCATTGTTATGTGTAAGGACAGCTTTTTGACAGTTTATAGAGCATCTTATTTTAGTCATGGAAATTTTTGATTGCATTTGTTCCTATTATAGCTCACTTAGGACCTCAGACATCCTTTTAGAATTACATTTGCTCACATAGTAATTTAATTACTTTTTAAGCTAAGGTATTTGTGTCCAACATTTGATCACTAGTCTCCCATTAATAAAGAGAATGATTAAGAATAGTATTTAGGGGGCTGGATATATATCTCAGTGATAGAGTGTCAAAAAAAAAAAAGAATAGGTAGCAATTGCATTAGTTATTTTTCTATTGCTCTGATAAAATACCATGACCAAAAACAACTCATAAGAAAGAAAAGATTTATTTTGACTTAGAGTTCCATGGGGAGAGTCCATAATGGACAGGGAGGCATGGTAGCAGGCAGCCAGAGCAGGGAGCTAAGGGATCACATCCCTATCCATATACAGGAAGCAGAGATCATGAACTGGAAGTAGGGTGAGGCTATAAACTCTCAAAGCCTGTCCCTAGTGTTACAGTTCCTTCAACAAGACTTCATGTTCTAAAAGTTCCATAACCTCCCCAAACAGCACCACCACCTAGAGTCCAAGTCTTCAAATATGTGAGTCTGTGGGAGACATTTCTCATTCAAACCACCACAGTAATTAAACTATCTAAAGATAGAATTACCAAGATGATAACTGGGGAGATTAATTCTGGAGAGCATGAGTGGTCATCTCTTTTCTTTTCTTTTCTTTTTTTTTTTTTTTTTTTTTTTTTTTTTTTTTTTTTTTTTTTTTTTTTTTTTTTAGGTAGGGTCTCACTGTGTGCTCCAGGCAGACTTTCTTTTAACTTGCAATCTACCTGCCTCAGCCACATAACCTGGGTTTGCAGTGCCCAGACGTGACAATCTAAGTAGAATAAAAAAGAAACTCAAAAAAGGGAGGGATAAAAAACCACCAGAAAACTCTATTTATTATGTATTGTTTTACTTGTAAAAGATGTGTAGATATTCGTATTTATTATTTATCATAAAATAATTAGGAAACGTAGTGCATAAGAAAATATTCTTATAGAACCCCAAGTACCTAGGCTAGGGAGGTGGGTCAGTGAGTAAAGTACTTGCTTCATAAACATGAGAACTTGGGTTCAAGTCCCCAGAACCCATGTAAAGCTGTATGCAATAGTGCACATCTGTAATCTACTCCCTATGGTGAGACAGGAGGTAGACCCAGGAGAATCACTGAAACTGATGGGCTAGCTGTTCTGGCAAATATAGTGAGAACAAGGGACTGCCTCAAAAAAGGCAGAAGACAAGAAAGAACATCCAAAGTTGTCTACTGACCACCACACACACACACCATGGCATGCTCGAGTCCTCTTCTCCCATCCCCGACTCGTGCAAACACGCATATTTACACATATATACACACACATAAAGAATTAAAAAAGGAAATCCCAGTACCCAGTGGTAATTGCATGTCTGAATACCCAAAATATATGTAAACATTTAAACTTCATAAATGATATACTGTTTATCTGATTTTTTAAAAGATTTTAAAAATTGTATATGTACAGTGGCTGGAGCGATGGCTCAGCAGATAAGAACACTGACTGTTCTTGCAGAAGACTTGGGTTCGAATCCCAGCATCCACATGGCAGCTAACATCTACCCATAACTCCAGTTCCAGGGGATCTGACAGTCTCTTCTGTCCTCCACAGGCATTGCATGACACAGGTGTACTTACCTACATGCAGGCAATACATGCATGCACATAAAATAAAAATAATAAAACATAAAAAAATTTATATGTACCAGTATTTTGTCTGTATACATTTATGTATTACTGCTTGTGTCCATGGTGCTCAGGGAGGCCAGAAGAGAATGTCAGATCCCCTGGAACTGGAGTTACAGATGACTGTTAGCTGCCATGTGGGTGCTGGGAATCGAACCTGTCCTTTGGAAGAGCAGCAAATACTGTTAACCACTGAGCAATCTTGCCAGCCCCTATGTATCTGTTTTTAGTGAAAAATTTATAGGCATGCTTGTCCTAATTGTCATTAAATGTAAATTTTATAACAATCTGGTAATTTAACATTTTTAGAGAATTTTTAAAACTTTTTGTAATTCCTTTGTTGTGTTTTTCAGTAAGAAGGAGAAGAATGAAAAGAAACCAATTGTTGGTGTACTTGGAATGGTGAGTTTTGGATTTATTCACTCTTTAAAATACATTCCTCCCTAAAAAGGAGGTAGTTCATGTGGTATAAAGCTTTCTTAGAAATTATAGAAATGTGGAGAGAAATTGATTTGGTTTAGCTTATGTTCAGAGGAATGCTGCTCATAAGTTGCCATGTACACTGAGCCTCAGCAGCCCCCCTTCCTGGCTTAGATTTCAGTATTCTCTGAATTGGTTATGTTGCCAGTGATCCTTTACCTGTAGACATTTTCCCTCTTGATGATCATTGCCAGCAAGGTAGAGGAAACCAGCTATATTGCATTCTATATTTGTGCTGTGGTTTGACATAACATCTTGCTGTGTGTGTAGACCAGACTGGCCTCAAACTCCCAATCCTCCTACCTCTTGCCTCCAAAGTATGGGGATTACCACTGTGTGCCACCATGCCTAATACCATGCTGGTTTTTTTTTTTTTGTTTGTTTGGTTGGTTTGGTTTGGTTTATTTTTTTGTTTTTTGAAACAGGGTTTCCCTATAGCCCCAGCTGGCCTGAAACTTCCTATGTAGACCAGGCTGGCCTTGATCTCACAGAGATCCATCTGTCTCTGCCTCCCAAGCGCTGGGACTAAAGGCATGTGCCATCACGCCTGACTCAAAGTAATGTTTTTCAAGGCTCTGAAATTCTGGCAGGCTTGAGATCAAAGTCCTGTGTACTCCTATTAATAAAGGAAGCAATGGATTATTTATACTTAGACTTAGCAGTCAGGTGAGTCTTCTCTCCTTAGCTAAACCTCTCTGGAAACACCCTCACAGGTACATGCAGAGGTATTTTTCCTAGGTGATTATAATTCTGGTCACGTTAATGATTAAGAGCAGCCATCAGACGATGAGAAGCGATTTATATTCTTACAAACCAGAACAGTAGATACTATTTTTCCAATAGCATCTGTATTAAAGACTAAAAATTTTCATCAGATATCATAGAAGAACAGAAGATAGATTGAATTTAATTCAAAGAATTAGTACACTGGGGCTAGAGAGATGGCTCAGTGATTAAGAGCGCTTGCTACTCTTGAAGAGGTCTGGAGTTCAGTTCCCAGCACCCACATTAGGTAGCTAACTGCCACCAGTAACTCCAGCTCTAGGAGTTTTTCTTACGTTTTCTGGCTCCATGGACGCTGCATGAATGTGCATATACACACACGCATATACATACATACACATAAATAAATATTTTTAATCCTTAAAAAATAATTAGTACAGGCACTAGCAAAGTTATTGCAAAAGTTCAGTAAAGGTGGAGGGTAGCTTGGTCTAGGATGGTAGCAGTCATGGTCTGAAATATGTTTGGTTGGGGATCTATTTTGAAACTGCTAATGGTGCCCATTTCTATATTCTTTCTAGTTTCGCTATGCAGATTGGCTTGATAAGCTGTACATGGTGTTGGGAACCCTAGCTGCCATTATCCATGGAACTGCACTTCCCCTCTTAATGCTCGTGTTTGGAAGCATGACCGATAGCTTTACAAAAGCAGAAAATAATATTCCACCAAACATTACTAATCAAAGTAAGTTTTGTTTGTGGTACTGATTTTATTGGAGATTTGCAAAAAGCATTTACTAGAAGAGCCATGTGTGGGGCCTTTAATAAATATGCATTATTGTGGTTAGTGTTGTAAAAGGTGGAGTGTCAGAGCTCTAGCGCATGTTTTTAATTAGTTTTAAAGACATTTATGAGCATTAGAACACCCAGGGGAAGTACTGGCAGAGCTGTGTAGACAGAGAGCTCTATGAAGTCAGAATTGGCCTTGAAAGCTTCAGGAGGAAATACAGGCATCATATCAGGACCCTAAATTGTGGAAGAGTTATGAAGGTACATAACAGATTGGCTATGAATGTAAGAGAGGAGTCCAGGATGATTTTAAGCTTTTAGTCTGAGGAACTGGAAGAATCTAGTTACTCTCAACTGTGATGAGAAAGATGGAGAGAAAGTAAGTCTAGGCAGTAAATATCAAGTTTGGATGCTGTCATGGATTGGGCTATCTGGAAGCAGATCCAAGAGTGGAGAAACAAAGACTAAGAAAAATTGTTAGAGAGACAGACAGACAGGCAGGCAGATAGATACACACGTACACACAGAATGATTTAAGATGAGAGAAATAATGCTTTTGTTATTATGGAAAGAGTAAAAAGATGTCAAGAGATTCCTGAGAAAGGACAGGATCAGATTTTCAGGAGGAGATAAATGTTTGTTCAAAGGTTGGAGCAGGGTCAGTTCACCTATAGTTACAGACAGGAACAGAGTGTTGAGTGTCATCTCCAAGAGTGGGTAGATGAGGTGAAAATCTGTGGAACTTTTCTGCTCATCATGGTAGATCCTTTAATCTGTCAGAACATGTTCTAAGACCCCTGCCCCCAATGAAGCCTGAAACCATAAGTAGTACTGAACCCTGTATATGTGATGTTTTTCTTTTTATCTTTTCCTTTTTTCTCATGGTCTTTTTGAGACAGGTCTCCCTGTAGCCCCAGCTGGCCTGGAACTTGCTATGTAGACCAGGCTGGTCTCAATTTCACAGAGATCCATGTGTCTCTGCCTCTTGAGTTTTGGGATTAAAAGCAAGCTCCACACATCCAGCATGTGATGTTTTTCTTATACATGCATGCCTGTGAGTTTCATCTATAAATTAAGCACAGTAAGAGAATCATGACAATAATTAATAATAAAACAACAAATGCAGCAGTGTAATGCGCTGAAAGTTATTTCAATGTTCATTCATATTCTCTGTGTCTTTGTCTCTCTCTCTCTCTCTCTCTCTCACACACACACACACACGCACACACTCACACACTCATATCTTACTGTGTTCTCCTCATCCTCCTAATGATATGAAATGATACAAGTTCATGGCTGACTCCAGGAAACTGAAAATGAAACTGCAGAAAGTGTAACTTTGGATAAGTGAGGGACTATTATTTAATTTTCTCAAAGAGGTTGGAAGCAAGAAATTTGGCAGATAGGGAAAGGAGATGTAAAACAGCATCCTGGGCCTGTAGAATCTAATTTGTGCCTCCAAATGTCCTTCAGTGTGGGTCCATCCACTGGAGCCTGGTTAACCTACCAAGAGTCCCATGCTTGAAGGAGACTGCCTCGGCCCCTCCCACCAGCTGTCTGTTACCACAATTTCCTTAGGTGGGATTGGAACTTCTTACCCATTTCCTTTTGTCTATGCTGGGATTTTTTTCTGGTTTGAGTCTATAGACCTTCTTATATGTATAATAGAGAACATTAAATTGGTCAGGGGGCAATAAGGGGGGTTGTGGCTAGGGGAGGGGATCTAAATGCCATCAAATGATATTATATGAAAATCAAAAAATTCAATTAAAAATCAGTTTATTTTGCCCCCCCCAAACAAACAAACAAACAAACCAGCACTGTGGGAAAATGAATGAGCTATTGAAATGCTTTCTCTGTGACATATTCTTGACCATGGAGAAGCAGGTTGGTACCTCTGAACTTCAATTTTCAGGTTACCTCTGGTCACATAGGAATTGAGTTAAACTCCTAAAAGACTTAACGACTCAGTTTGCATTCAGTTAGTTAACAATGCCTATTTGAGAATACCCTTAAAAATATAGTGATACACTTAGCTTACATGGATTCTTCAACTTTGGATTTTTTAAAAAAATTGTTTGATGTTGGGGACTAACATCAAACTCAAGGCTTTGCACATCAACATTTGCACTTTTTTAAAAACATTATTAAAACTACATTTATGTATATGTGGGGTGTGTGTGTGTGTGTGCATGTGTGTATGGTTGGGTCTCTTCTTTCTAGGTCCCCAGGACTGAACTTAGGTCCTCTAGCTTGGCGGTAAATGCCTTTACCCACTGAGTCATCTTGCTGACTCCAACATTTGAACATTTTAAAAAATATGTTTTATTTATTATTTTTATTTTATGTGTATGAATGTATTGCCTGCATGTATGTGAGTGCACCTGTGTCGTGCAATTCCGAGGAGGTCAGAAGAGGGCTTTCAGATTCCCCTGGAACTGGAGTTAAGGATGGTTCGTAGCTGCCATGTGGGTGCTGGGAATTGAACCCGGGTCCTCTGCAAGAGCAGTCAGTGCTCTTAACCGCTGAGCTATCTCTCCAGCCCCCCAACATTTGAACTTTTAAGTATGTGATAAATGCTATGAATCCTTTCCCCAGAAATATTTACACAAATATTCAAATCAATTTGAAGTATATTAGAACCTTTGGTACATTGCTCATAGGTCCTGGGAATCACTTCTTTCTATTCTTGAGGAATACATTATTTATCCTGATTTAGAACTACATCAGTTTGGTGAATGCAGATAATCAGTTGGAGTATAAATATTTATAGTATTTTTGAGTTACATAAATTTCTTTTTAGAATTCTAAAAGCTAATAGGAAAATAATGGGCCTTTGTTATGGCATTCTCAAATATTATGTATATGAGATATACTTTGAGCTATTACTATGAGATATTATATATATGATATTATACTTTGTTCTAATTCATTCTCCTTCCCTACTGCTCTCCTTTCCCCTCATCTCCCCACCCTCCACCTGGTTTCCATCCTCTCCCCAAGTAGTCCTCCTCTGTTTTCATGCCATGTGAATTCATTACCGTCATCTCCTCTCCCCAGTCTTTTAATCCTTTAAGATCTTGTCCTTCTTTCTCATGTTCCCCTTTCTAGTTTCATGATATATACCACACACACACACACACACACACACACACACAGAGTTTCTGAATATGAAAGAAAGCATGCAATATTCACCCTGAATCTGGCATATTTCATGTAACACAATGAGTTCCATTTCTATCCATTTTTCTGTAAATGTCATGATTTAATTTTTCTTTGAGCTCTGTGAAATTCTTACATATGTATTACTTTCCTTGGTGACATTGAAAGGAATCTGACAAAATATGTTCTACTTACCACATTTTAACTAGTTTCTTTTATAATTTAATATGTTATATAATATAATAAAACTACTTTCTTCACAAAAAAGATGTTTTCAGTGCTTGCTGAATTCATTGATTCCTGTACTTTGAATATTTGTCAACATGTGGAGTTATCCTGTGGCCTTCTTGACAGTGGACTAATTCTCTGGTAGCTCTATTCCCTGGTAGCTCAGCAGGCATAATGTATATCTATTAGGCTCATTTTGTCTACTCAGCTACTTATAAAGTCTAAACACAAACATTGCTCTAACAATGTGAGATGTGCTAATGAACCGTGCCGTGCTTCTGGGCATAATATGCAGAGGAGCAGCTGCTCAACTTGCCCATCTCTTAATAAGAAAATTACAGATTATTAAGCATCTGTTGATGTTTGACTTAGCCTGGGAATTGGAAACCATTACATTGCTGCCTGAGATGGACAGAACTGAATTCTACACCACAGTATAAACTAAGCTTGTTTTATGTCAGTATTTTTTAACTGAATTGAGGAGTCAATGAGATAGCTTAGCAAGTAAAGGCACTTGCTGTCTAATTATGCAAGCCTGGCAACCTGAGTTTAATCCCTGGAACCCAAGTAAAGGTGGAAGGGGAGAACAGATCCCATAAAGTTATTCTATGACCTCTATACACACACTATCATGGCACCCCCCCTATACACACACACAGAGTAATAATGAATAAAACATGAATTAAGTTTGCATATATCATTTACCTATCACCAAGACATTATCTGCTTTTTGCTCTTAAAAGGAAACAAGCTTAAACTTTAGGTGGCAATCCTGACCTTTACAGTTTTGCCTAGACCACATAAAGACATGAGAGGATAGACAGTTCTGTGGTCTAAGTGTTTCAGCTTTCTAAAATATGCAAGTTGATAATCAACCCTGGTGTGGTTGTATTTGGAAGTGGTGCCACTTAGTTAAAGGTAATTGGTCCATGAGGATTGTCATTAGAGCCCTCCTAAAGAAGACTCTAGAGAGCTAACTGGTCATTTCTACCATATGTGAGCACAGACAAGGTGCTATCAATGAGCCACAAAGAAGGCCCTCACCATACATTGAATATGCCTTGCTCTTGGTCTTTCCAGTCTCCATAACTGTGAGAAATGCATTTCTGTTGTTTATAAACTCTCCAGACTATAGTGTTGCCCTCACCTTCCTTCTTTCTTTTTTTTTCTTTTTTTTTTTTAACTTTTATAAAAACTTTATTGAGGGTGTTTTGATCAAATCCATGCCCACTCCCGCCCCCCAACATCCCCCCCTCTGAAGAGGTAACCCTAAAATCTTTTACAAATACTTTTGACATTTTTGGCCTTTGGAACAGAGTATGTTGCTAACAGGCCCAAGGACATTTTGACTTCTAGCCCAGAAACTGGCTACATTTCTTTAGGGTTTTTTACCCTAACTGTCTAGCCAATTCCTACCTCCTAGTCTTACCACGCCATCCCCTGAAGGGGTTACCCAAATTGCCAATAGGATATCGGGACGCAGACCGCTCTAGCTCCTTCCATATTGAACAGGGACGCAGGGTGAGGCAGTTGGAGTACCCCTTCAGTGGGTCTATCTAAAAGACT